CTACAAAATTGAACAGAACATTAAGACTCCCAAAATTATACACAACTTGCAACTGACTTGTCTCCTGTGTTTTCCACAGATTTGCATAGTTGACATTATCTTAGAGATTTGCATTTGTCCCAAAATATATCAAAATTTTTCTTTAAAGACAGCAATTTCAAAACTTACTCCTACAGCTGAAATGTTTAACAACATTTTATATTAACTGTTTTACAGTTAATATTGAGGATAAAGGAAGCTGGCTGAATAATAGTGCAAAAACTCCTCCCACAATCTAATACAGGAAAATACCATCTATTCTAGTTGCCATCCATACTTTATTGGAAGCTCTGTTTTAAAGTGCAAAAATCTTTGGACTGTGCCAAGATGTCCATAACAATGCAAGAGTCATTCTAGTTATAACTGAATATTGAGTTAATAGAATTTACACATCCTTTTAATTGCATTTTAGAAAAAAAATTAAAGGGGGGTGGGAGAGGAGGATTTTTAATTAGATAATCCATTTAGAAATGTTGCGTTTCACAACTGTTTTAGCATACTTCAAAGAGAAACTGTTGGCCAGTATGTTTCCAAGTTCATATCCTATTAAGTTAAAGCTGGAGATACTGAAATAATAATAAAGACCTCATAAACAATTAAAAAAGGCTGCAATTTACTGAGTCGCTAACAAAAATTCAGTGCAAATCTGCAAGTGAATTCTGTGTTCTATTACCATCTACTGGTGAAAGTAACTCACAAGCACAACATTGTTCCCTATAAGCCGATACTGGGGAAACTCCTAAAATACACAAATATACAGAGCTAAAAAGTAAAAGCAAAAGGTGAAACGAAGGTATTTTTAACTGACTTGATTGCCATCACAGTTAAGCTAGTTATTCCTTGAGGATGTGTAATTTCTCAATACTCTGCCTGAATTTATTCAGCTTTTTTGCAGGCATCAGCTAGGGATAAGAAACATGCAAAAACTGGTGAGATGTATGTAAAATAAATGAATTAAAATTAGAAATACCCATTTCTAATGGCTACATATACAGCAATAGGATATATGCACTGAAAATCACAGTAGAATACTTTTTCAGATGTTATTTTAGCGCAGTTGAAGCTCTGTTTGACAAGATGTGAGCAAAGAAATTGGAAAGAGTAGCGAGTTACATAAAACAGTGAATCATACCATCTTTCCTTAAGAAAGTAGTTCTGTATTACTCCATGGAAATAGCTGAATTAATGTTGCAAACAATACAATGGAATAAAAACAGACTATT